TTCTATTCTAGCCGGAGTATTAGAATTAAAATTTGCCGCCAATTAAGAACATATCCATTTTTCTTTAGATTTCATTGGTCAAACCTATATTTTCCATCTTTTGAAAGATCTAAATCAGAAACCTGTATATATCTATTGTGATAAACCTTAATTTATTTGTATTTATGCTTATATAATATATGTATGTGTTGTTTATTATTATTATTATGAACAACTTCTGGCCTTCGGGTCTTCCTAAATACACCATTAACATTCTAATGAAATAAACTCTGTAATAGAATCATCGTTTTAAATAAAAATTGTCAATGAACTTTTAAAAGCAAAAATGTTGTGTATTTTCTTCATTTACAGTATAGAGCTTTGATAAAAGCAGCAAATGTAAAGAGCTTTGGTAAAAAAGCCACGTTTTATTTGCTTTAGAATACATTGGTTAGCTAATGAGTGTTAACAACGATTAGTAACATAATTTACTTTAGCGAGTAGACAAGGATTTAATACTAACATTTAAATGTTGACAACGGTTAGTGAAGAAGTGTTATCCAAAGGTTAAGGTGAAAATATTATTGTAATCGTAAACGTAAGGCTCTTAAGCAGTTGCTTAAATTTTTTGTAAATAAACCAAAACGAGCTTGCAATTGGCCAATTAAGGATAAAGACTGAAATAAGCGAATAAAAGGAACTTTATAGAAGCCTCTATGCTTTGTAAAAGAGCCTTCGTGATATGCTTACGGATTCGCCGAAGCTTTCTAGCTATATAGGTAGGTACAACAAGCGAGAACCAATAAAAATTTGTAAACTAATGAATTGACAAGCACTGAATTATTGCAATTGGCTGACAAGAGTAGCCCAAAAAATAGACACAACATTCGCAGAATCTATCAGAGTATCTTGTCAACTTACAATCATTACATTTTTTTTGGTTTGCCCAATTCATAGTTTGCCCAATTCATAAATTGCATTATTTAATTCAAATCTACAAATAAAACTTTCTTTACAACATTCTTTTTCATTTTCAGAAAGCTTCTTGTTTTTTTCAGCCAAAGAAAAAAAATAATCTTTTCTACTTTCTTTATCAGGATTAACATAAGAATAAGCATTACCACACATTTCACAATAAATTTTAAATATAAATTCTTCTCTTTCTGGTGATAATAATTTATTATTACGATATAACATTATATAAAAATAAATATTTTTTATAAAATATGAAATTTGACTTGATTATCTATTGTGATTTATTGAATAGTGTGGAGAAATGAACAATAGTTCCACTTATTTATAACAATAAATCAGAAATGACCCGTCAATTTTAATTAATGTTACACGATAAATATAACGAACCAATAAATTAATATTAATTAAAGAACTAGATGAATGCTTTATGACAGTGACTTTGTCACTGGTGTTACTTGTTATTTACTGTTTTAAAGTCTCTATTCAA